GGGTTTTCCCGGGTGCCGGGGTGGGGAGCGCCCTGGCATGCCGGCGGGCGGGACGCCTGCGAGGGTCCCAGGAAGAGCCGGGGTGCTTCTCGTGTCCGTCGGGGATGAGCCGTGTGAACACAGCCCCAAACCAACCCTTACCGGCAGGCAGTGTGGCCTCCCCTAATGACTTGTTTTCGTTTGTGGGTTTTTAAGTGACTTTTAACTAACTGCTCGATCCGCCCTCTTGCCTGGAGGCGTGCCACGTGGCCCGGGCTCTCGGGCAGCCGGCTGGGCGTGTTGTGGGGGCTTGGTTTTTCGGGGCCCTCGAGGAAGCTGAGCTGGAGTCCCAGGATTTGGCTGGGCGGTGGGGCCAGCCTTGCAGCTTTGCCGTGGTCCTTGCCGGCATTCGCGTGGGCTGCTGAGGGAAGGCGCCGTCTGTGCCCAGCCTCGCCGGGGACACGACCCGGCAGGGGTTTTGCTGAACTCCCTCGGTTTCCAAACCAGCTCACCCTTTGCATCTGCGACATTTTGACCAACCCTCGACGAGGCCCTGTGTTTGTCGTGAAAAAGAGTTTCTCTGTATGTCCTGACTTCTCTGGAGTGGGCTGTTGGCAGCTGATGGCGAGAGGTGCTTTTCAGGAGCTGCTTACTGAGATTACCTTAAATTTTACTGTGGATCCTTCTCCTTAGGCGAACGAGGCCCAAGCTGTCTAACGCACCTTGGATCTTCAGAGTGTGCTGTGCTGCGTGCAGAGGGCTGGTCTTCCTACCGCTGCATCCCCCGGGGAAGAAGCAGGAATAACGATCTGCCCAGGTGTCTTTCCCCCTTTCCGCTTTTTATTTCAAATGGCTGCGGACACAGCGCTTGTCCGGAGCGCCTGGTTTAATTCATGGGAATTATCCCGCGTTTTCCTGGATGGATTAAAAGGCTTTCACGGGACTCAGGCTGGGCAGGTCTGGCCTTACCATTTGGGTGATGCTGGAAACCAGCGTCCTGGGCACCCGCTGTGCCTCCTCTCCCCCCGCCCTGGTGCTTGGCATCCCTCAGTAGCAAGGACTAAGCCGACTGCAAGGGGGAAAGCGCCGTGTCAGTGTGCCACAGCGCGAGGCTGGTTCCTCTGCAGTAACAGGGCTGAGGCATGCAGGGGACAACTCCAGGCTGTTAAGAGCTCAGAACAAACGAAAAAAAAAATTGCTCAATAAAATCAGTTGGTGCTGGGCAAACTGAAAACCTCCCAGTTTCTACCCATTGTGATCTCCCAAAGTCTGTTTTCGGGGGGGGCAGGGGGGTCTCCTTCACCTGCAGAGCTGGCAGCCTGGCCACCGTGGCAGTGGAGCGGTGGGAGCCGGTGGTGCCTCGCTGTGCCCAGGCACTGTGAAATTTTCGGGGGATTCTTGCGTAAAAGGTGAACAATCAGCTGCTGACTTGGTGTGAGGGGTGTGAGTGCTGGAGGAGAGTTCTGTGTGTCGCCGCCACACTCGCAGAGCATCCTCCGCTCCCCTGGCTGCCTTCCCGACCTCCCTCTCCGGTAAAACCAGATCTGGACGGGAAGGAGGAGGAGTTTTAGCTGAGGCACCAGATCAGTCGCTGCCGGTAGTTTCCTGCCCTCTCATCGCGTCGGTTTGGTCTTCCCTCGGTGTTCCTTCGCCTGAGCGAGGCGAGCGGAGGAATTCCTTTGGTTTTCAGTGGGCGTCGGTAGACTTCCCTCAGTCAAACTTGCCAAAAGCTGCAAAGAGCTCGCAAAAATGTCAGCGCCGAGGTGTCCCGGGCTGGGCAGAGCTGTGAACCCCCAGCCGGGGAGCCCAGCCGGGATCTTCGGTCGAGGAAAGGCCTTGGCAGTGTTCCTGGAGCAGCATGGCTGCCCGAGCTGAGGCTCGGGGCCCCGCTTTGTGTGCGCGAATACCCTCTGCGCTGGGCTGGGTTCGATACCGCCCGGCGTCCTGTCTTACTAACGACTGCGGCTGTCGCGAACAAATCTTTGTATGATAGAAAACTCTGTAAATTTTATTTTTCTACTGACACTCTGATGAAGGTGGTGATGATCAGTAAACTCTGTAAAGATCAAGGTGAACGGAGTTGTGTGTTTCTCCTGCAGGGCAGCGAAGGGGCCTGGGCTGTGCTTTTGGAAGCGAGCCTTGCTCCTGCCTCGCGCGGAGCAGGTTTCTCCCGCCCAGGGCCACCTGCAGCAGGACCCGTCCTGGTTCTGGCCCTTGATTTTGTCTCCGTGAGGAGCTGGACACGCACCTGCAGCCAGGCACCGCCGCGCGAGGTGACATCTGGCTGCTGCTGGGCTGTTGGGGATGGGCTCAGCCTCTTTGGAGGCCGGGAGTCCCCATCCCCGCGGGGACGTGCGGGGTCCCCGCAGCCCCTGGGCTCGGTGCTGACCCGTTCCTGTGCCCCTGGGGCTATTCTAACGCCGGGACAGTGGCTTTGCCGGGGCCATGGGTCAGTCCCTGCGCACCTCTGTCCCCTTGCTGCTCTCGGGATGGGGCACGGTTAACCCTGGGCTTCACCTGCACAACTCCAGCCAAGCCCAGGGCCGGAGCACAGCCTGCACTATGGGGTCTGCATCATTTTATATCCACACACAATCTGCGTGGAGCGAGAGCGGCCAAAGGAGTTGCTAAGAGGGTGGCAGCTGTGCACAGCAGGCGTTTCCCGAGCCTTTGCTGCTCCCCGAGATTCCCCGGGCGAGCGTGCACCGAGATCAAAACTGGCCTGAAAAATCCACATCCCGAGCCGGCAGGGATCCAGGAGGTTTTATTGGCAGTAAAAGGTCAGCACGTTCTCCTGGTTTCCGCGGGTGAGGATGACGGGGGGTCTTAGGTCCTGCGAGAGGGTCTCCAGCCTGGGCATGTAGAGGGAGCTGGGGCAGCGACCCTTCCTGCCG